TGTGTAGATAGTGTCTTGCTATATAGTTCAGGCTGGCCTTGAACTCACTATGTAGCCCAAGGCTGGCTTCAAACAAAGAATTCTCCTGCCATCAGCCTCCCAAGTGCTAGGATTACAGGAATTCACCACCACACCCACAGGTTTACTAGTACTGTTTTTTTCCCCATTAAATTTATTGGTACATTTAAAGCAAACAGTACAGTTACATTTATCATTGGTATCTTGTACCTTTACATGATATATCTTGGTACTTATTTTTTCCCCATGCCCCTGCCCTCCTTTCACCCCCTTCACCCTTCCTTATTTACAAAGACTTTGTTTCCATTTTTTCCTTTTTTCACATTTCTTCTTTTCCCCTTTTTCCTTTCCCCTCCCCTTCCTACTAGTATTGTTAAAGAAAATTTTTATCTATATTCCCGAGGAGTGTTGCTTGATTTCTTTATCTAATTCTTTATTCACTTTTGACATATTTTTTCTGGTCACAAAAATGTGCGGAAGTGTTCTCTGCTCCTGTATTTTCTCAAAACTTTTGTTTTTACAATAATTTTAAATTTTCATTGGCACATAATAATTGTACATATTCATGCAGGAAACTGTGACATTTCTGTACAAGTGTACAATATGTAAGGGTCAGATTAGACTGATTGGCATATCTGTCAACCTTAGGCATACATCATTTCTTTATGTTGGGAGCAATCAAAACCTCTATAATAGCTATTTTGAAATATTCAATTAATTGTTGTCAACTGTAACCATCTGACTATGCTACAGAACATTGGAAGTTATTCTTCCTACCCACCTGTACCCCTGCACCTGTCAGCCCCACCGCAACTTCCCCAGGCTCCCGTAACCACTAGCCTCATCTCTGCTTTGAGACCAGCATTTCAGGTTGCACGTGTAAGTGAGAACATGAGATATTTGTCTTCATGTGCCCGATTTATTTGTGTATCTGTGCCACATTTTCACTCTCCATTCATCTATCAGCACCCACCCTGAGTTCGTGTCTAGGCCAGTGTAGATACAGCTGCAGTAAACACACGAACACAGATGTCTTCTTTACTTCAATTTCTTTTACTCCAGTTCCTTTGAATATATTCCCAGGAGACAGATTACTACATCATGCAACAATAGTTCTGGCTTTTTTATGAACCTTCATGTCTGGCATAATGTCTATGCTAATTTACTTTTCCCACCAAGAGTTTACCAGAGTCCTCCTTTCTCTGGATCTTTGCCAGCATTTTAAAAAGTTATTTTTATAAAGGCTTTTTTTTTTTTTTTTTTTTTTTTAACCAGGGATTGAACTCGGGTCCTTGTGCTTGCAAGCCAGGCCACCGAACTGCTGAGCTAAATCCCCAGCCCTGTAAAGGCCATTTAAATGGCTGTGATGATATCTCGTTGCTGTATTGATTTGTGTTTCCCCAGTGATTAGTGATATTGAGCATTTTTCTAAATATAATCCTACCTTGGCACTTGACTGCTTTGAAACTGGTGGAATTTGGTGCTTGACATAGCGTTGTTTTTTTGACGTTCAGTGGAAAGGCTGCGATTTCGTGATGTTGATTGCCACATCACTCACTGCCCTGTCCTGCCAAATCAGTTTGGTATTCATCATTGTTGGTATTCATCTCGCCTTCCAGAAGCAATTAACAATGAGTACTGAGGAGCCATGGTACATTTTGACCATATGTTCTTTATGAAATATCTATTCTGGTCACTCACTGATGTTTTAATTACTGTACTTGTTTTTTGTTTTTTCTTTTGAGTTGTTCAAATTTCTTATGTACTCTGGAAGAAATTCCATGTCAAATGAGCATTTGAAAATATTATCTCCTATTTTGTAGGTTGACTATTATTTCCTATGCTTTACAGAAACTTTTAATTGTTTGTTTGGTTTGGTTTTGTTGTTGTTGTTGTTTTTCCCCAATACCAGGGATTGAACTCAGGATCTTAGGCTCACAAGGCAGGCATGGCACTGCTGAGCTACACCCCCAGCCCTACAGATGCTTTTTATTTTGGTATAATCCCATTTGTCAATTTTTCCTTTTGTTGCCTATGCATTTGAGGTCATACTCCAAAGAAATCTTTGTCCAGACCAATGTCCTGAAGTGCTTTCCCTATATATTTATTTTCTAGTTAGTAGTTGCAGGTCTTAAACTTAAGTCTTCAGTCCATTTTGAGTAGATGTTTGCATATGGTTAGAGAGACAGATATCCAGTTTTCCTGGCACTATTTATTGAAGAGATCTTGCTTTCTTCAATGTATGTTCTTACTGTCCTTGGCTGCCTAGCTACTTGGGAGGCTGAGTTGGGATGAACACTTGAGATCAGGAGTTTGAGACCAACCTACGCAACATAGTGAGATCTTGTCTCAGTAAAATAAAAGCTGCATAAAGACAATCAGAAAATTCTAGGGTCCAGGGCAACATCTCAGTGATCTCATTATAAGAAACAATGAAGGGCTGGTGATTTAGCTCAGTGGTTCAGCCACCTACCTCTCAAGCACAAGGTCCTGAGTTCAATCCGAAACAAACCGAAACAAAACAAAACAAAAAATAAATAATGAGGAAGAAATTCACGTAAAATGATATAAATAAAAATTCTAAATTTGTCTTTATTTTTTTTAACTTGCAGCACTAGGGATTGAACCCATGGGGGTTCACACATGCTAGGCAAGTGCTCTACCACTGAGACAGATCCCCAGCCCTGTGTAAATTTTATTTTGAGACAGGACCTCTTTAAATTACCCAGGCTGGCCTCAAACCTGTGACCCACTTCATCCACCTGAGTAGATTACAAGTGTGTACCACTATACCCAGCTAACAAAATATTTTAAAAAATAAAACAATTGACTGAAAGTACATGGACTTATTTTGAGGTTCTCTTTTCTGATCCATTGTCCTTTGTGTCTGTTTTTATCCAGTACTGTATGATGTTTTGGTTAATATTCTTTGTAGTATGTTGAAGTCAGTTATTAGAGTACCTTCTGCTCTGTTCTTTTTGCTCAGCATTTCTTGGGCTATTCAGAGCCCATTAGGGTTCAATACAAATGTGAGGAGTGTTTTTTCTATTTCTGTGGAGAATATCATTGGTAATTTTATAAGACTGCATTAGTCTTTGGGAAATGTGAAGATTTTAACAATATTAGTTCTGCCAGACAAGATACAAATGATAATTGTAATTGTACTGTATACTTAGAGAAAAAGATATTAGTTCTGCCAGTATATGAGCATAAGATGTTTTTCCATTCGTGTTTCTGTGTCCTCTTTAATTTCTTTCATCATTGCCTCACAGCTATATTCTGTGGTTCCCAGGTCAGCAATATCAGCATTACTGGGCAAGCCTGCTAGATATACAAAATCTCGGGCTGGTGATTTAGCTCAGTAGCACTGTGCCTGCCTCACAAGTGCAAGGTCCTGAGTTTGATTTCCACTACAAAAAAGAAAGAAAAAAAAAGAAAAGGAAGCCCCATCCCAGACCTACTGAGTCTGAACCTACATTTTAGCAAGTTCTCAAGCTAACTTGAGGGCACATAAAAGTATGAGAATTGAAGTCCTAATGTAATTTATATAGAAATTGATCCTAAATCCAGACAAGCTAAGTTCAGGAAGCCACACTGGCACTTATTAGTAAAAAGTAAAAAGGGACAAAGAAGCAAAATTGGTTTTGAGAAAAGTGCTTCCATATTAGAAAATATGTGTGTGGCCTAAATAAGGCTCCTTGAGAGATGGAAAAATGTACATTAACATAGAATATTAACACCTTTCCCCTCAGAACACAAAAGATAATGTTATTCTCTCCAGTGTCAGACTTCACACACTTGATCCCAAATACACCCTTTGCTCTAGCCAATTAAGAACAACTTGAATTGCAATCCTTGCAAATCATTGCCAGGCAGACTCCCAAACCCACTCCCTACTGCTCTTTAGGGACTGATACTATGCCGAAGAATCAGCACTTCAACAAACACACCAGGTGATTCTGATGCCCTGACACTTGGGAACTATTATACCACTAAATTTCAGCGCATATCTGGAATGTATTGTTTAAATAATGTCATATTTGCTTTAGAAGAATATTCCTATTTTTACCAAAGGCTTGAGCCATAATTGCTGTTGTTAGTCAATTAAATAAATTGGCCAAGTGATTCATGATAATTCTGTTTGGACCATATTTCATACTTTCATTACCTTTTGGGGCTCATCTAAATTTTGGAACCAAGCCTAATTCCTTTCAAATGGTTAATCAAACTTTTTTTGAGTCTGCCAATATAGGTTGGTGAAAAAGATTTACATTGTGGCCCAGTGTGGTGGTTCACACCTGTACCAGTACTTAGGAGGCTGAGGCAGGAAGATCACTTTGAGTTTGAGGGCAGCCTGGCTACATAGTGAGTTCAAGGCCAGCCTGGACTACAGAGTGAGACCTTGTCTCCAAAAAATATATATTTTTAATTCATATTGTGGAAAAGAAATTCTCCGGTGAAAATATGTAATGCTAAAATTCATTACTCATATGAATACATAGATTGAATATATTACAGAAATTATACAAAAATGATTTCATCTTAAAAATACAAATAACTTTTTTTATATAGGGAGAGCAAAGAAAAAATGAAGAAGCTCGTATAAAAGGTACTTTTTCTCAATAATGTGTTAGAACAAATCCTAATCACTGTATAGCAATTCACATCTTAAAGTATCAAAGGGCTATTCTAAATGTTTTTAAGTATTTTAAATGTTATGAAAGTTCAAGGGAAATGTCAATTTATGGGCACATAACTTTTAGAAAAAGAAAAAATTTCAATTTCATATCCTAAAATTTGAAACTTTGAATTTTCTTTCCAATTTGAGCCCAAAAGTATCATGTATGATGCCTGAGGGTAAAAATGAACTTTTGGGCCTTTGAGAGGTAGAGACAGAGGGAAAAACAAGAATTAAACAAAAACAGCAAAGTGAATTTTTAAAAACACTTTATAGTAATCCCAGCACTTGGGAGGCTGAGGCAGGAGGATCATTGTGAGTTTGAGACCAGCCAGGGCTACATAGTGAGTTCCAGGTCAATCTCAACTACATAGTGAGACCCTGTCTCAAAAAACAAAACAAAAAAAAACTTTATATATTGCATATTTTATCTTAGTACCTCAAAACATCATCCTCTAAGCACATTGTCACATGACTGTAATGCCAGCAGTAGGAGGCTGAGGCAGGAGGATTGCCATGAGTTCAAGTTTACATAGTGAGTTCAAGGCCAGCCTGAACTACACAGTGAGACCTTGTTTCAAAAATTAAAAATTAAAAAATAATTTCTGAATATAAAATACTTATGGCAACTTTTAAATTAATGGGCAAAATATCAAAATTAACTTGTAAAATATATTTAGGATATTATGTGGCATTTTCTAAAATGTCATTTTTCAATAATCAGTGTGTAGCCTAAATGATATAATGAAAAACACATGATACTTAAGAATAATGAATATTGGGCGAGATGTGGTGGCGCGCGCCTGCGTCCCACCACTCGGGAGCCTGAGGCCAGGGGATCCCAGAGAGTTCAAGGCCAGCCTGGACTACATAATGAACTCAAGGCCAGCCTAAACAGCATAGCAAGACCCTGTCTGGAAAAAAAAATTATCAAGAAGATAAATTAAATGTAAATGTGTGTTAAATGCTTTGTATTTAAATTGTAAGACTCTCAAGGAATGCTGTTACTATTTTGGGGGGGTGGGGTACTAGGGATCAAACTCAGGTCCTTGTGCTTTTGGGACAGGCAGCAGAACCACTGAGCTAAATCCCCAGCCCCGAATGTTGTCACTATTGATACAGGGTCAACTCATAGTCCCTTCTCGCTGTGGACCATCTTGTAATCTACCTATTCAAGGAAGCTTGTCTTTTTTAAATTGGTTTATTAAAGAAAGCAACAGTTAGCCATAATCACTAAGAAATCGTTTCATGTAACATTCCAGAACTCATCTACAATCTGATCTGATTTAAAGTGTACTTTCCTACTTTTTTGTTTTTGTGTTTTTGTTTTTTGAGACACAGTCTTGCTATGCAGTCCAGACTGGCCTTGAACTCACTATGTAGCCCAGGTTGGCCTCAAATTCATGGCAATCCTCCTACCTCAGCCTCCCAATGCTGGGATTACAAACATGATCCATCATGCCCAGCTCCAACTCTTGATTATCATGAAAATATTGCTAACTCCTAATTACATATTTAATATTGTATGGATGATGATACCAACTCTGAATTTCCCTTATGGGATGGCCCTGTCCAATATAGACCTAAAAGGAGTCTGAATTTTAAAAAACATTGCCCATATAATTAAGATTTGCCTCATAAATGTGTAATATTTATAGCACATCTATTTTTCACAGCGATTAAAGATGAATTCTGCCGTGCAACTAAAAAGGTAATCTGTGACCTCCTAGAGATTAACTCCACGACAAATGGCAGCAGCATTTCGTTAAACTTACCAACATCACCATCAGATTCTCACTACAGCCAAAGTATACAAGCAGCTGATGAATGGTTCTCTGATGATTCTCAAGCAGAAAATAATTCTTCAAAGCCTTTCCTTGGGGAACCCCTAGTGGAAAAAGTATTTTCATACCTGTCAACCATTCCATCAAAAGAATACTTAAAATGTAATGAGCATGACAATTTTTGATGATTAAAATAATGACATTAAGGAAATGTTCTCATGAAGAAACACTCAAGTTGAAATACAAAACCTTCGGCGTAACACTGAATGACTTTTTTTCTTTTGAATCCTTGTATACCCTGAAATCAGGTAATGTTAAAACTGAATCACCAGCTTCTGACTCTCCTAACATGCCGGTGCTAATGTTTCCTTTCTTGTGCTTTGTCATAGAGTGGGCCTGCTTCCCGTGCTGGCTCTTATTTCTAGAAATAAAACTATGGGAAGAATTATGGTAGTATCATGGATAGTAAGTTTAACTCCTTGTACCTTACAAAAGATAGATAATATGATTGTATTTTCAATATGCAGGAGAAATACTTCAAGAAATCTTTATGAATATACTTTAATAAAACATCTGCTGCATTTTGTTATACTTTGGACATATCAATTTCATTTCAGCGTGAGTAGATGTGGGTAGAATACCTATCAGCTTTTCTGAATTTAAAAAACACAAGTCACCTATCTTTCAAACCTTATCATGTCATGAGTTTGGTAATCAAGATAAATTTGCTCTTAAGTAATTTCCTTTCTCTGTTTCTCAGAAAGCCCCCCCAACCCTCACCCCTCTTGATAAAAATGACTCCTACTCACCTGAATCAAGTGAGGTGAGTTAGAGTTCCTTTCTAGTATGAGAGGCCTGTGTGCAAAAATGTATGGTTATGAGGGATTTCTGAACCTATCATGTAATCTTGTTTTTTTTCTTTCCTAAATACTCTCCATGTAATCAATCTTTTTGTTGTTGTTGTTGTTTTGTTTTGTTTTGTTTTGAGACAGAGTCTCACTATGTAGTTGAGACTGACCTGGAACTCGCTATGTAGCCCAGGCTGGTCTCTATCTCTCAGCGATCCTCCTGCCTTAGCCTCCTGAGAGCTGGGATTACAGGCATGTGCTACCACGCCTGGCTAAGCAATCTTTTTAATTTGCTTTCTCTTAGGAAAAAAAATGATTAATATTAAGTATAATACTACCTTTTACACTTAAATAAGACCTACTTATACCTTCCCAAGGGATAAATCGTACCTGTTACAATAAATGCAGAAAAAAAATTGTCTCAAAGGAGATAATAAATAGCATCATGCAAGTCTACCATTTCTGACCCAGGAAATAGTAAAGGAGTTGGAAGACCTTTCTCTTTTGATGCACTTGTCCATTTCCTCACAGTGTGTGGTGGATTCTGAGCATATCTCTCCTGTCCACCCACAGATCTCTGTAAGCTGTTTCACAAGGAGCGGTAAGAACAAGACCTTCAGCTGGTCTCGTGCTCTTAGTGTTCTGAAACTTATGCCTTCTTGGTATCGTAGGAAAGGGAGTTATAGCTGAAGATGGTAAAGTCCTAAGACTTCTCTGGGGTTGGAAATAAGAGATTCTAGCTTCTGTCTGACCAGACTCTGGAATAGAAGAACCTGGGAGCTGTGAGTTGCCATGTCCTACCATGCAATTTAGGAAGCAAAAGCAGCAAATCTGCAAAAGGAGAATAATGAAACATTTGCGAATTGGAAAGGAGAGATGAGAGCTCAGGAGAATATGGTTCTGCGCTTTCTAACAGTGTTCCATCCCCTGCTTTAACACTTCGTAAAGCCTGGCCATGACCCCTGCCCTTGGCTTGATAGGGTATCCTGTGTCCTAATTGTAAAACTCCTTTTCTCTCTTAAGCTCACAAGATGTGATTTCTGTTATTGGCTACCACCCCCAAGGCTTGGATTTAACTGTCATTTTTGGTTTTTATGCACTTTCATAATTTTATAATAAATTCTCCTTTTTGCATAAACTAGAAAGAGTTTAGTTTCTTTTACTACATTCAAAACATACAACCAAATTATTGTCAAAAGTTCAAAAAGATATTTATGCCTATAAAGTACTTGTTATACTGTAATGATATAATTGCTTAAAAACCTAACACATTCACTTATTTATTAAAATGTTATTCCCTGTCATAGACATGTACATTATTCTATTTGAAAAGCATACTAAACAGTACTTATACCAACTCAAATTACAGTAGTCAAAAATGAATTTTAAGAACTATGAAGGATCTGAGATTTCACCTTCTAGCCTGCAACAGTTTCATGGGTCAGACTCTTAGGTCAGTCACAAAGGACAAGTAATCATTCATGGCAGTAGCCAAAGTATCGTCATTTTATACTGTTTCTGGTGTCCCCGTTCCCACAGACTGATTGAAAAGGACCATAAACAGCAAGTTGCATTACAAACAGTAAAAAAAAAAAATTAGGAACCCAAATATTTTATTTAACAGTAAGAAAAAAATAGACAGTTAAGACACACATGCCTGTTGTACCAGAGGAAGCCACTATCACTGTCTGCCACAGTCATTTGCTGTGTAAACATCAGTGAGAGAAAAATCATTTTGAGGTTAAGGATAAGGGATTTATTCTAGGACTTGTATTTTGCACAAGTGAAGGAGGGAGATTGAAGAATCAGAGGAGCCACCAGTGAATCTAAGACACCACCTTGTCCAGCTGCCACAAGGAGATGGGAGGAAGTCGTGTGGAAATGTGTGTGGGAAACTTGCCTCCCAGTAGCAACTGCCTTTGAAAATATACTGCCAAGCATCTTGTGGTGGTCAATAGGGTCAGCAACTGGCAAGAACTGGACATGGAAGAAGGCTGGAAACAAGTTGGGACCCACTGGCTTCTCTCTGAGGTCTGTTAACACATCTAGGTAGAACAGCCTTCACAGAGTAATGGTTTCCGCTTAAATTCCACCGGTCAGATCTTGTATAAATTTCTCTTTGGGCCAACTTTAACCCAGAATCATGCCAACACAAATAGTGGATTGCATTACAAATAGTGAGGAGAGAATTTAGGGAACCAAACTTTAGGTTTATGGCTAATATAATTATAGTTTAACCAAGTTAACTCAGTACAAACTACCACAAACTACTTATCATGGATTTGGCATTCACTTATATATTAATGATATTTAAAACTTTCAAATAAAATAGCAGAGTGATTTCAGCAAGACAGAAAAACAAGATATCCCTCACATGCCTTTCCAGCAACCATTTTGCAGCTATCCATGGTAAGAGTGCCATGGATAGGAAGGAAGGAAGTTGTGAAATCCTGGAGCAGCCCAAGACCCACAAAGGCAGTACTACACCCAGATGGCAGATTTTCCAATCATGACCTGGTTCTAGGTATGGAAATGGCCTGATCCCCTACAGACAGCTGTCGGTCCTGCTCCTGAACCATCCACCCAGAGACCCGGAAGGAGTCACCCTTGCTCATACCTTGGGTGACAGACTTGCTGATGTTGATTCCAGAAGTGTACTCAGAACTGGCTCTGAAATTTGATGCTAGCCTCACTCAGCAGTGTTCAGAGACCAGTTCTGCCAGTGGGACAGGGTGCCAAAGAGACATGCCTACATGAGTGTGCAGGGCAGGACTGCCAATCTTAATCCCACAGCAGGCCCTAAAAAAGCGCTAAGGCTTGGCTCCAGCCTCTCCTAGCAGTAATCAGAGATCTATTCTGCTGGTGGCACAAGGACCAAAGGGAGACAGAGCCAAGTCTTGGGAGTGGGTTCACTGAGCTCAGTTCTGGCTGTGGATCCTGAAATAGCTTTGTTACCTAGTTCCATCACCTCTCAGCCATGGGCTAGGGCAGTATAGTTTGCTCAGGGACCCACCTAGTGACTCAAAAGGAACCCAGAAGAAGCACAGTTGTATGCATAGCTAGTAATAGGCCCACTCTCTGTGCACCCTGACATTGGCCTTTATCCCAGCACTATCTCTGTGGATCAAGGTCCTGGAGACAGTCCAGTCTACTCAGGGACAAGTAAGGCCCATTCCCATAGAAGCCCCTGCCAACAGGCCTGTCTGTTACCTACTCAACCATGATCCAAGAGGCAGTCCATAAACCTATGAACCTACAGAACCTCCACCTGCTGAAACCAATTTGTAAAGACTGATAGTGGTTCTTCTTCCTTCAAATGCACAGACACCATCACAAGCCTACGTGGACAATGAAGAATCAGGCGAACATTAAACCATCAAAGAATACTAAATATCTCCACAAACTGAAACCCAAGAAATGGAGATTTATGAATTGCATGAAAGAGAATTTTAATCATTTTACAGAAGCTCAATGAGGTGCAAAACAAATCAACACAGACAACTAAGTAAGGTTAGGAAAAATATATGAACAAACTTAAAAGTTTAATAAAAAAACAGAAATCATAAAAAAGGAACCAAACAAATCCTGATGCTAAAGAATACAATGATAGATCTGAAAAATTCAGTAAAGTTTGAACGGTGGTAGACTCAATCATGCAGAAGAGTTAGCAAATACAAAGACAGGTCATTCAAAATTAGCTAAAGGAACAAAAAGTAAAAACAACAGAAGGCTAGGGAACCTACAGAACACCAAGAAGCATGTCACTATGTGAATTACAGGAAGTCAAGAAGAAATGAGAAAAGGGCTGGGGATTTAGCTCAGTGGTGCTGCTGCCTGCCTCACAAACAAAAGGTCCCGAGTTTGATCCCTGGTACAAAAAACAAAACAAAACAAAACAAAACAAAAAGAAAGAGAGAACATTAGAAAGTTTATTTAAAGAAATAATATTTAGCCGGGCGTGGTGGTGCACACCTGTAATCCCAGCACTGGGGAGCCTGAGGCTGTGAGTTCGAGACAAGCCTGGGGGCTATACAGTGAGTTCCAGGTCAGTCTCAACCACATAGTGAGACCCTGTCTCACCAAAAAAAAAAGAAAAAAGAAAAAGAAAGGAGATACCAACATCCTTACAAAGGATCATCTTGTTCACCTGATTATTTAGATCTTCTGATATTCCCCTTTAGGGAGCACCTATGTGGGACCCAAATTTATCCTTACAGACTGTACCCATGCAGAAAAATTTATCTACATACATCTTCCCCATAGTCTGTGACACTAATTTTCCAATTTTGTTCCTTAGAGGTCCCCCAACCCTCTGGAAAAACCATCATCGAATGTCATAGCAATCTGTTTCCCTACATGCTTATCCTCCCAGGCTATACAACCAGGTACGCTGCCTGAAATAACATCCACTGAGATTTCTCTGCCCATCAAGACACATCTTAGTAGGGTTGTCGTGCTTTAACGTGAAATTTCAGATGATGCTGGTATAGCATGCAGGACTCTATACGCCGGGCTCAACTACTGTTATCCTCTGAACTGGAGGAAGAACGAACTTCATCTGAGGGCATAGGCATATATTTTAAGATAGAGAAGGTCATGTAATAGAAGTAAGAAGCATCAGTATCTTAACTGTTTCCTCAAGCAATTTATCTGTTCTTCAGTTTACTCAGAGCCAATTGTATCTTAATTGCATCTGTTGATCAAGTGCAGATCTATACACCTATGCCTTGTTGGATCACACAAGATCCAGTTCTTTTTGAACAGCTCTACCTGCAACTTGGTGGTTATGGCCACATGTTCAGTCTCTAGTACTCTAAGAGCAAGCCCAAAGATGTTTTCAAAAAGGGAATAGTTTTTGGCAGAAGACAGCATAGATTTGTTTTGGACTCTAGACTCCGATTAACCTCTAATGGCTTGCTGAAGTCTCCATTCTGCTATAAACTGTCCAAGTAGCGAGGATACTTTGGGTCAAGTGGCAGAACTGACTCAGCAGCCTGGACGTGTCGCAGGGCCTTCTGTTCTCCTGAGGTCCACAAGAGATGGGACTTTTTTACATTACTCAGCCAAATGGTCAGAGTAGCACAAGAGATACTGCCTCCGATTTCCAGAGGAGCCCA